GCTGCATTCACACCAATCTAAGCAATATATATATATATTTTTTTTTTTTTTAAATTAATTAGGCACTTTGCAACGCTTGTGCACCTCGGCGGAGTTGCTCTTGCTTTTGACCGTGCATCTACATCGACAACAATGGATTTGAGGGTGCAATATCTGGCTTCAGTGGCCAATCACGTAACCGGCGATCCAGAGCTTCAGGACCATGCCGTGAGGGAACAAAAGATGTGAATCGTTGTGCAGTCGCTTGGTATTAATGGGCCACAAAATGATACACCCACACTGTGCTTAGATTGGTGTGAATGCAGCCTAAATCTAGTGTTACCAATATGTTGCTTATCTGGAACTCCTTTCATTTTTCAACTAAAATACATTTTTTCAAGCTGAACAGGAAATGATTAATGGAATAGAAATAATTTGGAATTGGGAGATTTGACTCTGCTGGTGAGTTTTGCAATACTAATAATGCCAAACCAGAGAGCTGCTCTCCCTCTGTGCCAGGGACAAATTGACAAGACAGCTTGGCGGCATGTTTCAGTAAACAATCTGTCACCTCGTACAATATACATCAATTTGGATTGCTGTGTCTGCTGTGCCAGGTGCCACACATGAGCTTTGTAGATTCATCTGTCCTGTTATTTTTCAGTCAACAAAGGATGTTTCCACAACGGAGCATCAATACAACTTGTATTAAAACACCAATGTTACACTTTCCATGTCTGCAGCTTGGGGCGGTGGATTATTTTGGGGTATTTTTGCCTTTAGTGGATAGAGCGGTATAGAAACATACAGGAAACAAGGGGAGAGAGGAAGGTATGACATGTGACAGGTCCTCGGCTGGACTTAGAAAGGGGTGTCGTAACCATATGGATTTGAATAACTCCATCATAGACCCTCACCCTCAGTCGACCAAGGAATGGAACAGACACACGAGTGTAGAGGGAACATGAAAGTAGACAAACTGAAATACCGAAACAAGTTCACTCGGATGATATTCCAGTAACTTCATTCATCTCTATTCTATTAAAAGACGTGTTCCTCAATAAAAAGACAAAACAAAAGTACATCAAGAGAGTGAACCCGTGTGTTCTTCTGGAAACTCAAAATGATCCAATTCAACCCTGTCTATGCATAACACACCACTGCACAGTCTTGCCACTGAGGGTAATTATCAGTCAAGGGTTAAACTTGTCATCGCTGCCCTGTGTACTGAGGTTTCACCTTTAAGCTTACTCGTGTTCTGTTCCTCCTCCGACCAGTATTATATATATATATATATATATATATATATCATGTCTGCATCCACTCGGGACAGTTCACCCCGACATCATAAAACATCTTAAGTGCGTCTTGAGTGGCCGCTTGTCATCACGGTTTGGTTTGTAAGCGAGTGAAATGTAAGCTGTGACTCACGCTTAACACACTTGACTTTAGCCATGCAGCTAGAGTACCTCACCTCAGACTATCTTTACATCAGAAAACGTCATGTCACATGTTTGATCCAAGTGATTATCATGTTGTTCATTGTTTAAAAGCACGTTTCAGCAGTCGTTATGCATCATGCAGTCCTCTCCACAGGAAGCTTATCTGGCAGGTTATTGTAGGGAAATGTGTGAATAGTGCAATAATGCATCTAGCATTAAATCACATTTTTTGATGTGAGGAAAACATCGTGATTAATGAAGGGTCATATATGTGCTGGTGTGCTGTTAATAGTGTTGTTCAGCACAAATCAATGTCATTTAACATAAGGGGGTCTTATTGTTTGTAGTTTTGGCTTTGTTTTTTTTTTTGTGGGGACGGTATGATAGAACTCTTTCAAACTAATTCCACCATCACCCACGTTGTTTGATTCAAAATGAGGATAAACTTTTTGAAGGTCTATTTTAACGACTGTGTGTGTGTGTGCACGATTATTGACAGTTTGACAGGTTAAAGTCAAATCCAGAAGTAACTGCGAACTCTAATAGACAGTCTGAATAATAACATTCAGCAATGTTTTCATTTCCATTTAATCATTAGAAATAATATGGTTTCCCGCTGCATGCAGTTTTCAGTGTGTCAGCACTATTCGCCTCAGTTGGTCCTTATTAGCGGCAGATACAGTACGATAAATCTTGTTTTGTTTGTGTGGCTGGCAGCAGAACTGCTCGGTGCAGTTACAGTCACCTGCTCCTGATTATTATCAGGTCAAAGAATTATGAACATTACATACACACAACACCAGTTATTCATCAGCACACATAAACTGGGTGTTTCCCCCTTAAACCAGATATTACATAGTTGTGCACTGATGATAGAAAAATGGCAAATAAATCCTGGTTGGACAGTATTTATTTGGAAAGAGAATATAAATCTGCTTTTGTAAATTTAGAGTGTGAAGGAAATTGACTTTCTGGCAATCCTGACACTAATATAAATTCCACTTCTACTTCCTTTGGACTAAGATTTAATTTTTTCTTCTCATTCCCACAGAATGCCAAGTTCCGGGTGCTGACCTGGAGATCAACCCCACGCTGGAGTCACTGTGCCTCAGTATGACAGAGCATGCCTTAGGGGGTAAGTATCCCCAGCACACCCCACCACTAAATAGGCCACCGGCTGGCAAACCTCCCACTAAACTACCGACGAGACGGCGACACCTTTTCATGTGTTATAACTAGGCCGCGGAAGAATGGATCCAACGAACACCAGGGAACATGCTAATTTGTTCACACGCACGTTCTCCCATGCAAACAGAGATGGAAAAAGTCTGTTGACTTTTATAATTCATATTTAATTAGTTCTATTTGTGTATTAATTTTTAACAACATCTAAATTATGCAATATCATTAGTCAAGTCACAGTCGGGGTGCTCTCACAGAGAGGGAGACAGAGAGACATAGGCTTCCCTTTGTGCATCATATGGTGTCGAACACATGCTGAGTATTCTGTGACTGATGTAGAAAGGTATCCCTGTTGCATGATTTTTTTTTTTTTTTTCAGATGTAAATGAAATTCAAGGCATTTAATCTATTTTCCTTCCTTTCTCAGAGACAGATAAAGTTACTGACATAGGTACGTAGCATACGCTTAGTTTAGCCTAGTTTGGCTTACTGTCTGGATGTCCAACATTAAATAGTAGGGACGCACACACTGGAATTTATCCACAGATTGCTGTTCAAACAGCACAACAAACACCATTCTGTTGACATACACAGCACTGGCAGGTGAACAAATGCATATTTTGTCTCCAAAGTAATTGGGAGGATATTGTATGTACTTTAATTCAGCATAGTGCTGCTATTTATCTCGAAACATATCTAATAGATATAAGAAATACTTCAATGATTGACATACCATAAAATATCCATTTACACATTAAAAAGGCATCAATAACTTTTGTTCTGGCCTTGGGAGAAGAACCACACATGAAATGTGTATTTTACGATTGTAAATGTCTTGAAACATATTCATTCCAATCTTTTTCCTCAGATGGAACCGACCGGACATCAACAATATGAAAAGAAGAAAGGAAAAACACACTTCAGTTGAGGCCTGTTCAGTTCCTCATCACCCAGCACAAAGATATACGTATGCTTAAAGAAAACCAGGCAAAGCAGTCACTACAAAATGACAAAAAAACTGTGTATATGTTCTCTAATATTTTTGTACTTTATTATATACAACTAAGTTTATTAAAAATGGAATACAGATGATTATTATATTGCAGGACAGAAAACAGACAAAAAAAAAGAAGCAACGTGCTCCATGTCACCTGCAGGACTGTGACATGCCGTGCAGAGGCTCAGTTGGCTGTGGTCTGAGAGGAAAGCGGTGGATTGGTGCTGTCTTAAAGGGGTTCTGTTCCCTATGAGTTACTCTTCTTTTCCTCCTGCCTTGGAGCAAGGCTTCTTTCCAGAACACACTGACGCCCACAGCCCCTGCACCACATAACATGTAGATTCAGAAAATGTCCAGCCAGAAGCAAGGCACTTTTATGAATTGATCTCTGACATCAGCCACCAAACTGTAATTGGGCCTAGGACACAGTCGCTAGTACACTTCCCAACCGCCCCGATTGTTCTGTAACCAGTGCTAGTGAGGGTTTGTGTTGGGTTGAAACTTACAGCTTTTCTCGGTTCTTTTTATCCGCTCTTGAGGACATGGTTTTGTGGCAAAAGGTGGAAAGAGAGGACCAAAAGAATTGAGTAAACGCTTGTATCTCTACCGCAGACATGCAACACGTAGTGAAAGCAGAAGTGACTGTCCTCCTCTAAACGTCTACAAAGCCAAAGAGACGGGTTGTGCGATTGTTTATTTGAGAAGGATAGTTGTAGTGAGCTGCAACAGAATGGTATAATTTCTTTTCTTTCTTTCTTTTTTTTTTTTTTTTTTTTAAAAGAACAGCAGACCGAATAATTTATGCCAGCTGCAATTTTGTCTGTTATTTTATGCCCTACTACATGAATGATGATGAATCTCATTTTGTGCCGAGGAAGCCCCCGAGGGGTGAATAAGGGCCGGTGAGGTATGTACTGTGCAAGAGCTGATTCGATATTGAATTGATAAAAGCGAGGAGGGTAGAGTGTTTTCAATTTACTCACTCTAATGCTGGGTGAGGAAACTAAATGAAACCCACCTCAACCCTCTGGCCTCCTTATGATTGGCTCTGGGAAAACGAAGCTTGATCTTGTAATGAATGCTCCGGAGCGCAGCGCCTCACCCTCTCGGTGCCCTCTTCCTCAAAACAGCCAAAGTGGTGATTTGATGAGTCATACTTTTTCAAGGTGCTTTGACGGTGTCCATATTTTTCTGTTTGTGTCTCAATGTGTTTCAGTCTCAGAACCCTAACATTATCACGTGGTATCAGTGTTGAATCAAAAAAAAAAAAAAACTTGTCTTATACGGCCTCTGTATTTGAATGTGGCAGAGCGGAGGTGCATGTGTGTGTGTGTGTGTAATATGGTCTTAACTTTCAGATCACTTTTTGGTTGCATCATAAGGCAGAGATAACCATTCACCTTTTATTTCAGCAGAGCCATAGGAGGTCTGTCAAGTAAAGATGGTTATTTACAGATATCTTTTCCAATTGTATTTTTTACACTCTCCCTTGATATTGATAACTTATGCTTATTTTCTATAATCGCATGTTTTGCCACACTAATACAGCACTGTTGTAGATAGAGGACATGGTGGTTGACGGTGAGCCGAGTCACCCAACAGCTAAGAGAGCAGAAATCTTGCAACTAATGTTGTATATCTATACCGCCTAAATGTCACTGTTTACATCTCTCTGGGATAATGCCCAATTCATGTTATGTGATGTCATGAATACTCCATTGTCTCACTATGTAACGCATTAAAGAACTGACGCCTTCTCGCACATGAGCTGGCTGGGTAGAGCCTGAAAACAAAAGCCTTCTACCCCCTTACATAACCCACGGACCCCGTCTGAGTCTCAGTAGGGTTTTTTTCAAGTGAGATCCGAGGCATGTAACGCCTGCTTTTCTGGTGACAAGAGAGAGAATTATCTTTCCTGGCCTTGTTATTGAACTGTTAACTGTCATGTCCTGATAAACTGTTCATGTGGTGCCTGAAATGCACAGCTCCAGCATCCTCAATATGTTGAATTAATGGTCTTGAGTAGTATTCTAGTCATGGATTTCTTCAGAGCAGGCTCTTGGATAGATCTGACTTGCTAAAACCATCACACTCATGCCCGCAAGGGACTTCAGAGAGTTTTAATGCCGACAACTTTAAGACTCGGCTATCTTTTTTTTTCTTTTCTTTTTTTTTTAAACTATTCACTATCCTGTATATCACGTCTGTTATGTTACAAATGGCTCAGATGACCCTTTTCATAGCCTCTAGCTTTGGATAGCTTACATGTTGCTGCAAATAGACACAGAGGTACAGTGCAGCACATTTCTGCAAGTGTCTGTGTGCATAATGAAGATGCAGCAGGGTGTGACGACGCTTATCTGAGCCACAAATCATGTGATTGTGAGTAAACAGAACACTAATAACAGGCCAAGGAATATGTTTACTCCATGTTTACATTCCAGCGAGGCATGAAATGAGTAGGGAAATGCACTTCACGAGTTCAGCCTGGTGTTTTTTTCACATACCAAGCATCCACTAGGAGGTACAGAGCCTGTGTCATATGGAGACGTCTACCAAGTGTACCCACGATTGTGTTCATGTCCCTGCCAGGCTTAATTATTGAATAAATGCTGCCAGCTGTAGGCTACATTGCATATATTTGTCTTGTACAATTTATATTTAATTCTAATGACTCCCCAGACATTTTTCTAATATTTTATGAACTTTTTGCATCCCATGCTTACTCTACTTTTTTACTGTCACCCATATGTGTGAATGGTCTGAAGTGCAGCATCCGCCGGATCACTGACAGTCCAAATAAAGAGGTTCAGTTCTTTTGCAACTTCACTTGTGATTTGTGTTTGTGTCTGTTTACTTTGCTACACAAGAGACACGCATTTTAGCAGCTGAAAAAAAAATCGCTGTCCGCTTTTGCCATTACTCTCATTTGTCATGTTACAGACGCCCTTCATCTTCTGACGTTCCCATAAAAAAAATACTCGTAATTACTTTTTACTTCCGGGTTGCACGACGTTAGCATTTAATTTATCAAGCTAATATGAGCTAGCCGCATTTTTTTGTTAAGGCCATTAGTTTATCCAAGAAGAAACGGGAGCTCCTTCGTCGTGAAACTTCATAACAACTGCTCGGTATGTTCACAGTCTGTGCTATGGTTGAGAAAGCCCGATATAAGTTGCCATGAAGACAACATAACCTGCAGCAAAGAGTACCCAAGTTAGCAGATAGCTAGTGTTAGCTACCCTGCTTACGTAGCCTACCGAGCATAAACAGCTAATGTTAGCGTTACTTGCTAACGATGTTAGCTAATGCTAATGTTAGAGCTAGCGTGGAAGTTTACACCATAAAGGGGGATTTGAGTCGACGACTTGCCTCAAACAATTTGACATCTCGAAAGTATTTAACCCTAGCAAACGTTAGCTCAAGTTGAGTGGTAAAAGTTGGAAATTATTAATCGACTGTTCACTTTGAATACTAGTTGACGTTCTTTGAGAGAGGAACGAGCTCCATCCCTGATCATGACCGTTTATTATCCATTTTAAAGACAAAACACCTGGTTTACTATGGAGAAAACTTCTGCTGATTAGAAGAAGAGCTGAGCATCATAACTAATAATACTTTCAGGAAAGTCCCATTTGATTTAATAAACTTAAACCTAGTTACTTGTTGGGGGCAGGTTTTCGGTTGTGTGTTTTAGGCAGGGTATATACAGCTTCCTTCTAGAGTTAGAGGCCATAGAATGAATACAGTTGGTTTCATCTGTCAAACTCTAAACGGGGCCAGAAGTTGTTTGCTTCTATGAGTTCTTAATATGTTCCAAAATGCCTTGAATTCAAAGAATGTGCTTGAACTCTTCTCGTCTTATAGACTACTCAAAGTATCTAAAGACTAGAAGCATGCGATGCACAATTCAATGAACATTAAACCACAAACAGCCTCCAAAATGACAATACAGTTGAATCAATCAGAGCTGCAAAGATAAGTCAACAGAAAATTAAACTTTGACTATTTTGAGTAAAGATTGATCAAATGACAAAAAATGTGTGAATTTACTGGTTTTCCTAATCTGCAATGATTTTGTGATGGGTATTTTTGACAATTTCTGGACCTACAGATTGATTGATAAAGAAAATAATCAACAGATTAAACTATGACAATAAACATCAGTTGCAGCTCTGAAACGTACACCACTCTTCAACATTTTTAAACATAAACTGAGATTATGACCTTCAAGAAGGAAACATGTTGAGCAGAGCTGTTGTGTTGGATTGCATCAGTTTCAGAAAGGCGTTTTACTATGACTGTTATCTTAAGAAGTTAATTGCCGGCTTTAAGCAGAACTCTCATTTTGTTTTGCAGGTCGTTTTAACTCTGTGACCAGAATGCACGGACAATGATAATGACGTCTCAAACAAGGAGTGTGGATGGGAAACTACCTGCCAAAAGCTAACTGCAATTACAAATCATCCATTGGCAACTCATTCACCACATAACTCATCATGTCCTTACCAAAGGACTCGGGGAACCGAGGTAAAGAGCGAGAGAGGGGAGCCCGTCCGAAGGTGAGACAAAGCCGGTCAGAGGAGAGACGAGAGCCAGGCAGTCGACGGAAAGGTGTGAAGGGGAAGAAAAAAGGCCTCGCTTCCCATGAACCAGCAGCCGAGAGGCCGGTCAGCGATGGCTTTGAGTACGGTGAGCTGTTGAGCGACCTCGAGTCCAGGGACCAATCTTCCTCCTCACCTTTGAAGGAGAGTTGGCGATGGCAGGGGTTGGAAGCCGCGGCCTCATTTCTCGGACAAGAGCGGGTCACGTCCAGGCCGGGACTGGGAACCGGTGGCTCTGCTACAGAGACACCTGCACCCGGTGAAGGTGAGAGCAGAGGGTCGAGCAGCAGTCGTACTCTCCGGCAAAAAATCCAAGATGCAATGGGGCAGTGTTTCCCAATAAAGACGCACAGCGCGACGGCACCGGCGCCGTCTCCACAGGCTCTTCCCTCGACTGCCTGTGCCTCCTCGAGGCGCAAGATCCACCTCAGCGAGTTGATGTTGGACGACTGCCCCTTCCCTGTAGGATCGGAGCTGGCTCAGAAGTGGAATCTCATTAAGCAACACACGGCCCCCATTACCCAGCCTCCCTTGCTTGATTCCCCAGTGGTGTGCATTGCACCTACGCCAGCCATGCCTACTGTGGTGGAGGACGTAGATGACAGGTTGCGAGAGCGCAGGCGCATCAGCATTGAACAAGGTGTCGAGCCACCACCCAATGCAGAGATCCACACATTCGAGGTGACGGCCCAAATCAACCCCCTCTACAAGCACGGCCCCAAGCTGGCTCACGGTATGAACGAGTTGGCCGGGGCCGACAGAGCCTCCGTTCAGCAGCAGCAGCAGCTGCTCCTCCAAAGACAGCAGCAGCACCACCAGCTCCTTCTACAGAGCTGTTTGGACACTCTGGATGAGGTGGTGGCCTCGGCCTCCGCCTCCGTCCCCGCCTGTGATAATACAACCCCCGACCCCGTGGTTGACCCAGAGGTTACAGCGACCAACGTGCCCGCCAGCGCCGTACTTCCTCCGGCTGAGGATCACAAATCTCACGACGGCTACCGCATTCACACACAGATCGATTACATTCACTGTTTAGTTCCCGACCTGCTGCAGATCACCAACCTGCCGTGTTACTGGGGGGTGATGGACCGCTATGAGGCAGAGACGCTGTTGGAGGGGAAGCCCGAAGGCACCTTCCTCCTGCGTGACTCTGCCCAGGAAGACTACCTCTTCTCCGTTAGCTTCCGCCGCTACGGCCGCTCGCTACACGCGCGCATTGAACAGTGGAACCACAATTTCAGCTTCGACGTGCACGACCCCAGTGTCTTCCACGCTCCCACAGTCACGGGATTGCTGGAGCACTACAAGGACCCCAACTCCTGCATGTTCTTCGAGCCCTTGCTGTCCAACCCCATCCATCGCGCACAGCCCTTCAGCCTGCAGCACGTCTGCCGAGCGGCCATAAGCAGCTGCACCACCTACGACGGCATTAACGTGCTTCCCATTCCAAATACTTTGAAAAAGCACCTGAAAGAATACCACTATAAACAGAGAGTACGTGTACGGCGAATGGACACCTGGTGGGAATGAAGAACAACAACAAAAACAGATTAAGAGAAACTACTAAACACATTTTTAACGCTCCCCGAACTGACTGACTCTTGTTCCTCACTCTATCTGGCTGTGTTAACCTACACTGCAATATAGTTATTTATTTTATGTCTTAACAATTGTACTAACCTACACTGATGAGACAATATGTAATCTCACTGATCTTGCACACTTTAAAGTTCTTTATGCTCAAATTAAACAAAGTTATTTAGATCTGTGACCCTCACACATCCTTTTGTCTTTCCAAGTGTTACTAAATCAGCTTAATTGTGTCAAGATGGGGGGAAAGTGTCCTAGTGTCAATTGAGATGATTATAATAGAGTTGTTCATCAGTCACGTGCTGAGAAGGTGGAATACATCCTGACACGCTTTCCTTCTTGTTATCGAGGCGTTGGAGTGCGGCACGTTTGAAGAATGAATCCTTGTTTCTCACTTTGAGCTCAGGGCTGATTATAATGGAGTTGAGAGGTAGGTGCAAATGCAAGCTGTTGAAACGTGGAAGGATTGCTCTCGATATTTATCACACATTGAAGGTATGAAAATGCTCGCATTAGTTTTCAGTGTTTTAAATGCAGGGAAAGATGCAACGTGCGATGTTGCACAACTAGCATGTTAATGAATATCTTCTGCTCCGATTCAACATCATTCAGCTGCTTTGTTTTCAGCTTACATTGTGTAACCATCTGTGGTTTCATGCAGCAAGTGCCAGCGGTCTTCATTAGTTTTGAAGTAAAAGGATCAATGTGGCCTTCATGAACATGTCAGCAGCAGGTGAAGCAGCTGTATTATTAGAATACAAATGAAGCCGAGACATTCATGAACCTTATGTTGCTTAAAATCTGACTGTTGAGGTTTCCAATCCTACATCTTCCTTCAGTCCAGAGGGTTAATTGTTGTCTTTTTTTTAAAAATAGTGTGATGAAGACTCAAATCCGTAGAGGGGGGAAAAAAAAATCAACTTGTTGCGATACCTCCAGCTGTGCATCTTTTAAAGAGATGTGGTGTCTACACACTTATCCATTCACGCAGTTCAATGACAAAATTACCATAATGATTTAGCACTGATGAATCCTGATTCGTAAAAAGAATGAGGGGAGAAATTATATGTTTTTAGCTTTTTTTCCTGGAGATTGACATTAAGTCAGTTCCACAGACAAAAACCTACAAGCTCTGAAAAGCTCTGCCAAAAATACCTGAAGGCAGAATATGAACCTAAGTCAAGGGGCAAATGCTTAAAGTTCAGTGAATTGAAGTACAGGATAAAGCCAAAGCTAAAAAGGACTAATATATTAACTAAGAGTGTACAATAAGACTTCCTTTTCACTCTCTCACCCACCAATGGACTGCAAAGTTCTATCCGTTTTGTTGATCAAAAACTGATTAAAATATGCATTTTATTATTATTGAAATACCAAAATGTACACCTTTTATAGAATAAACTATCGTTGGGACAGGACAAGAAACATTTGCATGTTTGAATGTACAAATACAACACAGAATCCCCACAGCAACAGAAAGTAAAATGCATTTCATGCTAGACAGACTTTTATTTTTCCATTACCTTGGACTTATTCAAAGATTAATTGCAAAGTTTACCTCTGCGGTGGAGTCATCTACTGCTGTATGTGAACAGCGTTTTTGTATTAATTAAAACACAGGAGAGAGACCACACCACTAATTGTTGTGTGCACTAAGTAATAATGACAAAAGACAACCGTCCCAGTATTAATGGGGAACCATGGAGAATGGATCCCCAACTGTCTTCTGAACCACTGCGATGCCGTTCTCTCCTTGAGATTTGATATGCAGAAGGCAAATCATCCATGACAAGCACTCATCCACTAATGAAGCGGCTATAATTTAAACATCACTGCCAAGGCAGCATTCAAGTCTGCATTCAAAATGCAAAGTCAGGGCCTCTGACCTTTTGTATACCTAATTAAGTCACTATAAAAAACTAAACCATACAATCAGGTTTACTGTGTTGGAAGACATTTGACCTGCCATGCATACATAAGTGCGGGCCACGCTGTGAACCTTCTTCACAAGCAATTTTAGACCTTTGACGGCTCGAAGGCTTTTGTCTTGTTTTTCCCAGCACAATACAACGCTCTGCAATGTGGTCAGCCTGGCAGATACGACTTTTAACTCTTTGTTCTCCAGGTCCCATCGCTAGATAGCTGAGCCCATGTATCTGTAATTCCCTGTGTGATTATTTGGCACTAGTTATTGGTTCAACTGGTACTCTTCCAATAAACAGTTTACAATGAATTGCTCGTATAAGCTACAGAGTCTTGACGTAGTTCTTCTCGGGACATTTATTGGACATTATTAGGAAATAACAGACTTGTAAAATAATGTGTTACTAATTCAATAAACGATTACACAGCTCAATAATTCTGCACATTATCTTCACAAAGCAGCACATGCAGATTAATAGTATATGTTTATATTACACAGCGTTTCCATCAATGTGAAGAAATGCTGTATTACATCAAGCACAGCAGGTGGCTGCAAAGAGCTTCAGTGTGTTCTCCACACGGGCTGCTCTCAGACTCAGACTGTGTTCTCTGTGTGTGTGTGTGTGTGTGTGGTGCATAGAGATGGCGGGATGGAGTGCGGCTGCTGCAGCGGGCAGCGCCGTGACACTCATCACCCAGGTATTACAGGGCCCGGGGGAAAATAGAGGACTTTTCTTTGCCTGGATCAAGGTGCCCAGAGGGACAGCATGCTCTAGCAAAGCCGAAAGCTGATTGGCTACACATACTTAGTGTGTTTGTGCCTGTTTGGTCCTCTCCCCCCCCCCCCCCCCTCCTTCCATTGAGGGAAGAGCTTTCACTCTGAGCCTAATCGCTACAGTTGAGCATCGTGTGGGTGGAGAATAAGCTCGGAATGTTCAGAACACCTGGGGACAATTACTTCTTCAAATAATCTGCCGGTCATAATCGAACAAATGCCCTAAAAGGGCTCGACATGGCACAGACTTGGCTTATTTGAGACTGAAATTGTGCAGAGGGACAGTGAGTCTTTTTGTAGGTCTATGCTTTTGGCCGCTGTATGGAGACCCATATATATTGTGAACTCAACTACCATGACATGCAGTGTGTATCTAGGCCATTAATTCAGAGGAGGGTGCATCAAACTGATTTCAAATTCTTGCAAGATGCATACGGCTGGATATGGTTCTCCTTATCCGCCCAGAGAGCAGGAATACATTTCTGTGACAGAGGGAAACACTGCAGCTGAGAAAGAGAGAGAGAGGGAGAGTAATTTTTGGTCAGTAGATGAATCCAGCTGAATTTCAACCTTCAGCATGATTAGGAAACACTCTTGCCTATTTTCAGTCACACCTTTTGAAACGGGGCACTTCTTGTCGAAAGCAAGTAAGTAATTCCTGAGTTATTAAAGTGTCAGCTCATAAAAGCCCCACAATTCCCCCACCCCAGGAGGTACATTGTCACACAGTCACACGCTTACGTTTGATGTTTGTTTCCCTGGAAGCTAGCATTTGACAACACAATACCCCCCCCTCCCCACACACACCCCCCCACACCCCCCCCTCTTCCCCCCACATTAGTT